ATAGTGATTTTTGTTTCGTACATTGTCCCTCCCTCCCTCTGCAAAATAGCTGTTAAATAATTTGCTCACTAGGACTTGACATTTCTAGTAATGAGTGTTGAAGTTTAGGATGTTTTCTTGAAAGCACATCCTATAGTTCAAAACACTTCAGTTGCATGGAATAGCTCACTCAGACACTTGTAGAACTATCTGTCTGGCTGCTCTGTATAGCATCCATGTGCGGTTTTCAAAATGTCTAAGAATCATGTTGCTTTCAGATAGGTCAGAGGCTCCCAAACTTTTTCTTATTGCATATCCCCTTCTAGATGTACCAGCTCCCTGAGTACCCCTACCAGTGTACGGTTAATATTTTAACCCCATTAAATGCCAATTCTGATTATAATGAAATTAAATCTGCTATTACACAATTACCCCAGGGGTACTGTACCACAGTTTGGGAACCCCTGAGTTAGGTCTTAGAAACAGAGAGAAATTGTAACTGATTAAAATCCTGGCACCCAATCAGTTTTCTTTTCTTGTGAGCAACAGGTGCCCTCATGCATCAAACCAATGAGCTGGGTTATTTAACGGCCAAAGGCAAAGCCAGGTCTCATTTGCTTGATGAAAGACTGTGTTCCTGGTGCTTCTCACTAGCATTTTTCTTTACAGAGTCAATTTAGGGCTGCTTTTTTTTTCAAATAATTAACTACCTGTGTGTTTACAACATGAATACTGCAGGCAGAGTAACATTCATGAGCTTATGCAGGCTCACACAATTGCATTTCTCATCTAAATAAATTTTTGGCTAAGACACAAATGCCATTTCTCCTTTAACTCCTGCTTTGATGGGCTGAAGCAAGGGAGAAGGTAAAAGACTTGTTTAATATACCATCCAGTTATATCTATCTATTCTAATGCCTTTGGTGTCAGCCATCACTTTTAAAAGATGTTGGTGTACATTGGGTTCACAATTAAAAATGTGGAGTGCAAACAGGGTTATAAATGTTTGAAGATGTTAGACAACAAAGATGTTAGTTTTTGTTATCTTTTCCTAAAATATTCATACTTTATTTGTCAACTCTCAGATAGACAGGGAGGAGAGCTTTTGAGACCTGACAGTTTTTTTTCTGAGTACATAAATATTAAAGCTATACACTTGAAGTGGACTACATTATTTTATAATGGCAGCAGGATGTATGAATCATGGGTAGTCTGGTTGTCTATAATATATATAAATTACTTCTGTTCTCAACCTTTTCGATTCCTTCAGCTTCCTTACATCCAGAGTGATATTTTGGGGAGCAAGTAAAGTAAAAGGACTGATGTCTTAAATTTCTTTAATTTGCAGACTGACTAACCAGAGTTTTCTGGCATATTATAGTAGAGGTAAAGTCCATTATTTTGAAATTATTTAGCCCCAAAGGAGTTCAGTTGCTTTTATTGTTGTTGATGTTAACTTAGTTGCAAGATAGGCAGAGGTATCTAGACAGAGATGGCATTTTCTTGTCCCTAGTTCTTAAAGTTGTTGCTACCTTGATTCCCCTGTGCTTCTGCTACTCCTCCTATACTAGCATAATGTTAGCTTTGAGTTTAACATCTGAGTGCATTCATTTTTTTTCTTGGAGGGTGGGATGAGTTCTTTTCCAAGTACAAAGTTTCAGTAATGCTTACACTATTAATTTCAATAACATTTACTACAGTAAGATTCAGCATGGCAGCAAAGAAAAGAAAAATCTTTGGGAATAAAAAAATATTTCTTGTGTACTACATTATAGTACTAATAATACTTTGGAAAGTTCCTACCAAGAGCAGAACTGTATCATAGGAATAATCATAGCAGTATTCACCTTCTCTTTCTTTGGCAATAGTTGATTGACTATATAATGAAGTACAGAATTTAAAAAAATATCTGTAATGTGACCCCACCAAAATAAGACAAGAATAATGGTTAGGGACCTACCAAATTCATGCCGGGAGTGGGGTGCACAGCAACTCCTTTAATCTTGCAGGTTCCCCTGTATGCCCCCCACTACCACCACCATTGATTGGTGGAGGGGCCCCACTGCTCACCACTTGCTTCTGATTAGCAGGGAGAGAAAAACTGGAGTTTTAAGTACGGCACCATTTTTGCAGCTCTCCACTGATTGGCAGGGATGCTGTCTGTAGTTGACCAGCCAGGAGGCAAAAACAGCGCCATATTTAAAACTGAGGTTTTTGCCTCCCTGCCGATCAGGAGTAAGCGTTGCGGGGGGCGCTGCTGTGCACTTCACTGCTCACTCATGAGCAGCGGGGAGCCGAAAACCGTGGTTTTTAATGTGGTGCTGCTTTTGCCTCCTGGCCAGTGCTGCCAAGGTCCCTTGGCCAGTCAGTGGCAAGCCTCAAAAATGGCTGCGATTTTTGCCTCTCCACCAATCAGAAGCAAAGGGTGAGCAGAAGGACCCCTCTGCCAATCAGTGATGGGGGTGGGGTGCACAGGGGAACCTGCAAAATTAGAGTTGCTGTGCACCCCACTCCCACAGTGAATTTGGTAGGTCCCTAATAATTGTAGTTCACATAGCTTCTTAATGTGTCCTGTTTTTGATGAGCCATTGTAATGTTTTGTGTAATTCATTTTTGGGTTGAGGACTATTTAATGCATTAATCACGTCTCATGATATTTAAAGTTTTCATTTGTAGTAATTGAAGGCTGGAATTTTAAGTTATATTTTTCATTGGATTAACTGCATCTTGCATTTTACTCTTAATCTTATGCTGAGGGAAAGGTAGGTGAAGGTGAGACCTAGAGGGGGACCTTGGAGCTTGTGGGAAATGGGTAGTAATGAGTTGTACTTGTTCTTTGCTTTTTTTTACAGGGGACAATCTCTGCTTTTGGAGAGAAAGAGAAAGCAGAGTAAAAGTATAAGCATAAAAATGTTTGGTATATGTTGGAGGGGGTCAAACTCATCTGGCCCTGCGGGTCCACAGGTTGGGGAGTGCCTTCCACCTTCCCCCAATCAACATCCTGGGTATTGCATGCAGGGTGGTCTGGCATAGCAGAAGGGACAGCACCAGGGGCCCACAGGCCACAGGTTTGACACTCTAGTATATTAACAATACCTTGAAGCATGTCTTCCACTTACTGGTACAAAATAGAAAGCTGCTACCAGAGATGAGTCTAAAGCACAAGCTAGTTTCCAGTTCTCTGTAGGTGGCTGCAGTTCTCTGATACTTACATTGTAAGACCAGATCTAAACATAGGTTCTGACTTACCTGATACAAAACCAGAAAAGACTTTTTGTTTTTTTCTAGTTTGGACCTAGCCCAGATCTTGAAAGAATACCTGAACTTGAGTCACAACAAACAAGCTTGAGCACTTCTAAAGCCAAAGCTTGGTCTCCTTCTATTTAATTAGCCTAAACAATAGACTTCATATAAACTGAGGTTGAGCAAGTTCATTTCTATCTCTTGTTTCTGTCTCTAGAGTTAGGATACCAGATGCAAAGACATCTTTTGAGTTAGCATTTTTAATCTGAAGATTTATTGTTCAATCTCCAATGCGTTCCCTGAATTGTATAGCGATGCCTTTGTGGCAGGCAGATTTAACAATAAAAATACAAGTTTGAACTGGTTTTCTCTCACTACTGCAAACCACTTTTACTTTCTATTTCCACATTTTCTTTTCCGGAAGTTGCTTTTGATTTACAGTCCTATCAAGGGGCAACCAAACTTGTTTCATTTTCATAGCCAGACCTCACCCACATTTGAGGCGCATGTTGTGGTTAATTGATCTCGATTTTTAGTCCCATGATGAAGTTATAACTTTATTGTATAGACCATATGGATTTTGGATCACATATTCTAGCAAGTCTTTGTATTTATCTTTTACCAACAGAAGCAATGTAAAGTTGGCTAGGTAATCAGATTTTGGAATGTGGCACTACTTTAAGTTTTGAGAACAAGTAAGATTTGAAATTATTAAAGTTTGATTTCAACTTTCAGCTGTGTGACCTTCACTTTTTTCCTCTGAGAAAACAGATGAAATTTCACACAAGCTGTTGCTGCCACAAGTGGAATCCTAAGATAGCAAAGCTGTTTTTTCCCAGAACAGCTTCTTGATACGTGGGGGTTCGTTTTATTTGGCACCATGGTCAGTTCATTAAGGATTTTCATTGTGTTTTACTGTAAATGGAATTTCCCTTCATCCCAGTTTACTCAAGGCAGAGTCAGATTCCTGAGTGGCATTGTGTTCCTCATTGCCGTTTCATTTCATACCATTCCCTTGCTTATGAAGTATTATCTGGACCCATTTCTTATGAGTAAAGAGGCTTTTTTTAAACATTTTGTAATGCTAATTTTTGTTTTTCTTTTTAGCCTCAAGGAATAGGTTCACCTAGTGTCTACCATGCTGTCATAGTTATTTTTTTGGAGTTTTTTGCCTGGGGACTCTTGACCGCACCAACGTTGATGGTGAGTAATATAGTTAACAAACTTTTCGTGCAATACAAGAATAAGATAAACTGAATATTTCAGCTTTCTTATCTCTGCATTTTAACTCAAAAACTAAATTTTGGTTTAATTGAACTACTTTTGCATCCAATTCTGAAGTTTCTGTGTTATGGTACATCAGATAATCGAACTTTAAAAGTCTTTTTGTGTCAGAACTGGACTAGCTGATGTGGCTAATATGTAAGTAAATATAACGTACCCTCATTGTATGCACTTAATAAGTTTTGAAGCAAACTCTCCTAGTCCCATGTAGAGGCCAAGTTTGTGCCCAGGACTTGGATATGTACATGCCTGAATTCTGATAGGCAGCAACCTACTTCATTAGTTGCTATGAAAGCTCATGTGCTTCTGAACCAGTTAATGTCTAAGGACGCATCCACACATGCAAGCACGTGCACTTGCAGCAGCTCAAATAGAAGTGGTGCAAATTTGAGCTGGGGCTTTTGGCCTCAGCACATGTGTCCAGACATGTGCTTTGGTGTGGGGCAAATTGTGCCACTTGGATCAAAATAACCCTGCCTGGCTCCTCCTGGATCTGCAGCCAGGGGGAGCTAGAACCGGGGGCCAGCATCTGTGCTGTCCCCAGCAGTATAAAAAGCTGCCCTGTCCTAGCCCCATCTGTACAAAAAGCTGCCCTGTCAAGTATCTCAGGCTACTCGTTCTCAGGAGGTTCTGGGACTTAACCAATTGGTACCTGGGGACACTGCCCCTTGTGCCAGCTGGACTGCTGAAGCAGCCCTGAGTGTTCCCTGTACCCTTTACCCACTGCAGCAGTCTGGCAGTGGGGACTGCTGCCTGGCTGTGACCTGCTGTGCACCTGCCAGACCCAGATGGGGATGGCACAGCCAATAGAGGGATCCTACCCTCTGGGCCAGCCGCCCAGTGGGCTGTGGCTGCAGAGCTGGCCTTTGTGTGGCACTGCTGCCACGTGTGCCCCCTGCCCAGCCATCTGGGCAGCTATCACCCGGAAGATGTTCCCAGTGGGGTGGCCTGCTTTGAACTGTCAAAGCATGTCTGCCAGGCCCCAATTGGCCAGGAGGTCAGCCACCTCCAGCTGGGTCCAAGGTGCAAGCTCCTCTGCCTGGGTCCTGCCACTTGCCTCCTGAGCAGAAATTCTGGTGTTTCCTATTTGAAAACTGAAAAATCCCTGCTAAAAAAATCCTAAAGTCACTCCGTAAAATACCCCCAAATCCATGTTCCTCCACAATTAAAACAAAAGACCACTATATAAAGAGAGAATGAGAGACAGTGATCAGTTGGGCAATGTTTTATTGATATATCTACAGTGTTAAAGCAATTTGGAAGCCTACCAGCGTTTCTGTCATCATAATAAAATGAATTCTAAATACCTATATGTTTTGCTGTTTGCCTTTGGTTTTCTTACCATGGAGCAGTTAGAGCTCCCTGTGACCCCTTCACTAACCAGGATGTGGGGACAGCTGCCCCTGCTGCCACAGCTCCTGTCAGCAGGTCTCATCCTGTCTGACAGCTGGGCATGCAGGGTGTGTGCTGGAGGGAGATGGGGTTTGCAGAAGGGGGGTGGAGGGATGTGGGTAGCTGTGAAAGGATGTGGGGGGGCCTAGGGTGTGTGGGTAGGTGTGGGTGGA